TGATGCATCAATGAATATAACTCAACAAGTAATGCTCAATCAAGGAGTCAACTTACTTTGGGAGGAAACGGATTTGGGGAGGAAATGGACATATTGATAGATTCCTCCACTTTGAACTGCTTGCAAAACTTGCCTGAACTATGTAACTATCGTTTGGTGCAGCGAATTGTGGTAATGCTGGCATATCTTTGCTGATGCTGTCACCAGTGATGCAATTTTTCCCAAGGAGTCGTCAATTGGCTTGGTGTTGTGGCATTTCTGTATCCTCCTCCCTTCTGCTAGTGATGGTCTAAAATTTGGGGGCCAATGGCTATATGCTGGACCGGTAGTCAGTGACGGGTATGATCCAATTGCAGTGGTATCAACCTAAGACAGGAGGCTGACGCCTAAAGGTCAGTTTTCCGATGACGGGTAAGAACCATATGTTGAATTGGACAACCTACCAGGCACGGTCCATAAGCCACATTGCTTGTTGTTTAATTAATCAGAAGGGGGGAGATGCTGGGAGCCATTAGCCAAGTAGGTATGACAATTTCCTTGCCAGCGTACCCCACGTTTGTTTCTTTTTTTTTTTTTTGGAACACCAAGTTTGTGATTATTTGTTACAGAAACCTCAGGAAACTAATACATCTATAACAAGCCATTTGGCATTTTCATCAATTATAAGTAGTGTACTATCGTATTTCTCAGTCTTATTAAATGTAAAATTTTGAGAGAAGAGTCTTATTGATATATAGAGCTTATTGACTAGCTGGTACTTACAATACAGGCAAGCTATCAGATTTGGATAACACCAGGCTATATGGATCACAAACCAATGGGGAGAGAATAGATATGGTGCCTGGGCACTGGTAGACATGTGGATATGCAAGTAGAATAGTGAGGTCAACAAGCATGTAGCAAGACCCTAACCACAGGTTTAGAGACAAACTCAAAATATAAAAGTTAGAAAATTCTGGCACAAAAGAGCAAAAATAGAAGGGACATTAGACATATAGTGAGAAAACCACATGTTCTTAAGTTAGAGAAAACTATGGCTAAAACTAGATTGCCCAACTTATTAAAAATGAGACAAAGAATCACTGAGCACAAGAAAACTTCAGTATTCTAAGTTATAAATGGCATTTTACCTACCATATTTGATTATTTTTTGAAGATTAGGTAAAATATTAGATTATAAATAAGAAAGTATAGTATTTGGTTCATGGCAAATAAACATTCATCTCTCTCTCTCTTTCTCTTTCTCTCTCTCTCTCTCTCTCTCTTTTAAGAAAGGGAGCACAAATGTGGCATGGCAGTACAGGTAGTTTAACGTTATGTCAGAAGATCTTGGGATGACACATCTTAAATTCCTCCAGCCTATTGTCATATAGATATTAAATACTGTAGAAAAAGAATTAATGCACATAAGAAACTTGCAAGGGACAGTCATTTTTTAAATCAGAGATGATTAAGAAGGACTTTGGTAATTAGCTGATAGTTACTATTTATAATTAGCCAAGAATTATTTTAAGAATTGACTACTTGCTTTACATAATCACCACATAATCCTTACAATAATTCCATTATCCCCATTTTACATATGAGGAAACAAAGACTAAAGAAGATTAATCAGTTTGTCCAAGGTCACATAGACAAAAATTAATAAACTTGGATTATCACCCAGAGTGATTAATTCAAAACCTTTCTTAAAGTAGGAGAAAATAATAGTATCATCCTACTTTGTCAAAAAATCATATAACACACTCTTAGTTTATTTATTGTACAAGCATGTTTAGGTATGTATTGTGGGTCGGGGGAATTCTTAAAAAATAATCATGACTGGGACCTTTTATTAATGTATGACAAATATCACTAGTCTCTGCCTTTCCTTACCATAAGACTGTATGTAACTTTTCATTTAAGAAACTTATAGGCAGAATAATTTATGACAATGATGCATCCTCAGACTGCTGGTGGCTACAAAAGACTGGTCACCATTTCTCATCATTTAAAATACAGCTCTACATCCACAATGGGCATCCATTCATCTGAAATACTCATGGGCTCAAGACTGCCTCTTTATCTCCATTTGGACATTTATTAGGTCTTAAAGGTTAGACAAGAATATATAAAATATTATGCTATAAACACAAGTGAATTCTGCATGTTTATTTTGACCTATAAGACCTTATGTTTTAAACCATAACCCTGATATGAAATCAGACTTTTTCAAGTTCACTAGGACTGGAGCACACTGATCACTTCCCACAACTTATGGAATTGTGGCAAACTCAATCTGCCTACTCAGCAGTGGCTATATAGATATGAGCAGTAATTGGGTAAATAATGTTTGGTAATCTAGGAAAAGTTACAGTATGGTGTAAGTTTCTTCTAAGCAAATTAATATTCCCCAGTATTACTATATGATTTTAATACAAGGTCAGAAGTACATACATTATCCTGAATATATTTACAAACTAAATTCTTAACTCTTTATAAAACCCAAGGTTAAATTAGTTTGAAAGTCAACCTTAACTAACATGCCAGGGCTTATGCTAAGCACCATAACAGGTACTCATTGCCAGGTTATGAATTAAAAGGCTTACTGTTCCGCTCCATGAAATTGCTGTATTCTTCCCTGATGAACAGCATCAACCAAAATTAACAGAGGAACAAAATATAATTAAAAGACTGATATTCACTTAAATCACTTAATGTGGATGACTATAAAATTTTCTGTGACAAAGAGTAAGAATTGGGATTGATAAATTCTATGACATTTAAAATAAATTAATATATTTATATGGAATTATTTTGGAAATCTGTTTTCTGAGGTTATATTTTCTTTGGTTTTTCTGTACTTCCATTGATGAATAAATCAAACAGGTATAGAGTTCCAAAGCTTTTCTAAGTATTTACATAGCCCTGAGACCATAGGAATCTCCAGAAGGAAAAAAAAATTGAAAACAGGGTATTATATAGGTTCCTTTAGCATCAAAATATTTATTTCTGCACAAAACACACCAGCTTTAGAGTCTTAGAGTCTTTGAGAGTCTTTAGAGTCATAAAGAGTCTTTTTAGGCTGATATTTGTTGTCTTGTTTATAATCATTACAAATAATTATACTGTTACCTTCTTGTAAGAGTTCAAAATACTTAAATAGCAATTTACATTCCTAACTATTCATCATATATAATCATAGCCAATATGAAACATGGCATACAGAATACAGTATTTGTTTACATGTATCAATGGTTATAAAACTACATCATCATTGAACAATTTGTCTACAGAAAGGGTATTAATCTACCTGGATTCTAGATAGGAAACTGAGGAGTAAAATGAAATGTTTGATTCACATTAATACAGAAAAACTGTGGAGAAATAAAATGATGAACTATCTTTGATGACCCATTCAATGTTGCTAAGCTGAAGTTCCATTTTTCTCTTGCTTGAAAAATATATTCACTTTCACAAAATGGATTTGGTCTACTCAAGAAATATAGTCAGGTAACTAATCACCAGCCCAGTCTTTGAGAAATTTATTTTAAACTTCAGCCAAATTCACTATTTTAATTATGGAAGACTCATTAGTTTAACAAACCCACTCTACAGCCCATTGCTCAAAGGCTTTGTTAGCAAGATTCTAAAAGCCAGGTCCAAAATGCAAATGGTACCATCTGCATCACCACATCCATCCCAACAGCACTGCAATTAAATTAATAGTAGACTCTTCAAGATAAACCGGCAGAGACCCCAATCATGTGGAACTGGTTGAGTTTCTATTTAACCTACAGCAAATGGAAAAAAATACACAGCCAGTTCAGTCATGGCTCCCTTAGTCAATCAGTGCCCAAAAGCTGTGTCCAATTTCCCTGACCAAAGGAATTAAGAACCAAAAAAGGAAAGGAAACAGTAAGAAGATGTTAGTTCCCTAAGTACAAATATAAATAGATTTCAATCAAGTGAGCTTCAGTGTGCTGACTGTGTAAGGATTGGCTGACCAATCTGGAACAAACTCAAGCATTAGGATTAAAGGCATAATGTCTAAAGAATGATTTGAGCTCCTCACAAAAAGGAAGTACATGAAGTATACTTAAAAACAACAACAACATGACCTTGTAATATAGATACACATGCCAATATCATTTAAGGTTAACTAGAACTTCCTTTATTTGAAATTTTACAATCTATGGTTGTATTTACTACAGATTGTGCATTAGCCTGTTTTCATATGAAAAATATTGAACCACATTTAATTTTTATCCCAGAGAATTTTTTTTTTTGCTTTTTATTTGATCATACAACTATGATAATTAGGAAATTCTTAATTTTCTTCCAAAATCATGTATTTGGAAAACCTGAGTATGCTTAGAAACACAACCTTCTGATTGTCCTTGCTTCCTAAAACTTCTTGTGAAGTTTTATGACAACATAGACAACCCATAAAATAGTGTCAGATTAGTAAGGTAAATCTGGCCATTATTAAAATGCTTCTACTGCAAGATTTCAGTTCCTGGAGTCAGTTCAGTGAAAAGGGATATTAATCATCTTGTAGTCATTGTCCATCGAGTCTTGAGGCTAGGGAGGAAAGCTATAGGGAAGTGGCCTTCTGCAGTGAGGGAACATAATGACTCTGCATTTCTACACCAAAGAATGTAAAGGCATCCCATGGCAGAGAAATTCAGGTTAAAGAAAAATTGAGCTCTGACTCACAGTAACTTATTAACAAAAGAAAAGTGTTTGTTCAAGTCAAAAAATTTATTTGTGCTGTCATTTAGTAAGAAAAACCAGCTGCAAATAATGTAAAGATGGTCACACACTTTAAAGTTACTGTAATTCCAATTGTTACATATTATTCACACATTTACACCCAAAATTAATAGAGTAAAAGTACTTATTAAAGTAATACCAACAATGTTTAAAAAATAACCACATTAATCATGTTTTTCTTCCATATGAATACACAAAACATACATCCTGAAATAATAAGAATAAACATAAAATTGAACAATTACCTTTAGTTTAAATTTTCTTTTCAGATTTATCCTGCTTTTCAGTCTTTTCTTTGTGTATTTCTAGGGAAAAACAGAATTTATAATTTATTTTTTTAAAGTATAAAATTTAAAACATAGTTATACCTAAATTTCATCATTTAATCATAAAGTATACGTTCTTGTGTCTAATAAACTTTTTGATATATTTTTAAAAAGAGTTTGTAAAATATAGCTACAAAAATCACTTATTTACTTCAATAAAGAAAAATTTGAATCATCTCAAAATCAGTTATTTGAAAAAGCTTTGAAATTTGCATTGACAGATATGTTGTCATCATTTTTAGTGACAAAATTGATCACAAACTATAATTACACTTTATTTCAATTACTCTCAATACAAATTAAGAATATTCAATAAGAATGTCATTTAGATTTAGGAAGATTTTGTTTTTACATATTAAATTAAGAATTTGTGAAATGAAATGTAACAGCTATCTAATAGAAAATATATCTCAGAAGTATTGACTCTAAGCTATGTTTATAATCAGCATTTGGCATTGCATTTACCCAATAATTACTTCAAGCAGATATGACACTTTTCATTGAATAAGTTAGTTGTACATCTTTTCCAAATATCAGATTTTAACAAATATATTCAATTTGCTGCTAGCTTCCATATACATACATTGCCAAATCTTAGCAAATGAAGTTTATTCTGAATTTGTAGTTAATTTGGATAGAAGTAAATTTGAGATTAGGGTTTACAAATATGATTACTAACTCTGAAAATGACTTAATCTTAAATATCATGGTTTTTCTTAGAAAAAAATGCTAGAGGTTTACTTATTTATTTATCACAACTTCATTCCACAGATGATCTGAGGCAGTACTAATTACTGTACACGATTTGAATTCTCCATTTGTAAGTTTTCATTTGCATTTTGTAATTTTCCTGAAGTCTACCAAATGAAGACTAACCTTAGGAAAACCCTAAATATCCTCAGAAAAGGGCACCTATGAACTTCCACTCATTTGTTATGGAAATAACTATCATTGAATAGTTTTTCTTCCATTTTTTCCATGCATCATTCACTGTACTATTCAGTGTCATTCCCCCACCCTCATCCCATCACTGACTTTGAATATGGTCATAGAGATATGGACAAGATGAGATGCTTATTCACATTTCTGAAAATTTTTCTCCAAGGTAAAGAAAGGAAAGATTCCAAAGAGCATTGGAAACTTCCATCATCCTGCCTCTCTCACAATTTTCTCTCATTCCCTAATATTTCCAAATTCTGCTCTATAGAAGGGTTTCTCAGTTTAGTGCCATGGTCTTTTCTGATTGGGTGAGTCAATAATTGAGGGTGAGGAGTGCTACTGAGTGCATTCCAGGATGTCTAGCTGCATTAGATGGCAGTGGCTCCCATCACTACCCTTCAGGCAGAACAATGAAAAATACCCTCATATATTGTTAAATGTCCCTTGCTAGTCAAACTAAACCCTAGATGAGACTCACTCCTCTAAAAATACATGATAATCAGAGAGATAAACTCTTTGCCATTGTCCAAACCTACATTGTCAATGCAGTGACAGGTAGACTTCTGTTAGTCTTAAGCACATGATATGTGGTTAGTCCAAGTGGATATTTACTATAACTGCAAAATACACACTAGATTATGAAGACCTGTTTTTTTTAAAGCACGTAAAACATATTGTTAGTTTTACATTCCTTACATTTTGAAATGATATTATTTTGGATATATTGATGGTAGTAATTTTATAGATGTATCAGTGTGGCTAGGCTCCTATGTGTTTTCCAAGGGATACTAATCTAGGAGTTACTTAAATATATTTGGCAAATATAGTAAAAATCCTCAATCAGTTGAATTTAAGAAGGTGATTCTGAATAATTTGGGTGGGTTGTGTGATTCCATTGAGAAGCCTTAAAAATAAGCCTGAGTTTTCCCACGACAAAAGATGAATTCTCTATGTGGATCACAGCTTTGATCCATACCCATGAGTTCAAGTTTGCCTATGATCTTCCTGTTCTGGCTGCCTGTCCTGTGGATTCAGACTTGGTTGACCATTTTCTACAATTACATAACTAAACACCTGGTAATAATTTTTTAACATATAAATGAGTCCCTCTGATCTCTTTCTACTTGTGCTTCTCTATTTGAGCTCTGATAGATTAGATTAAATATTATTTAAATTAATTCTACGATTTGTCTCTCCATTTTTTAATGTAGCTAATTGGAAATTTTAAATTGCATGTATGAATCACATTATATAATGTGTACATTAGACAGTGCTAGTCTAATCTTAAGTGGAACAAAGGACCATCTTAAAAATATGAGGTCAATCAGTGTTGAATCATCTTCAAACAAACTGAAAAAACAATTTTGAACTTTCCCCTATCAGTAACTTTATTCTTCTTCCTTCCTATCCAAACAAACAGAAATTATGCAAAAGATTGGTGTTTTATATAACTCAGACCCATAAAGCAAGTAAGATGTCAAAGATTTAGAACAGTCATTGGATATGCTAAGGGAGTCAATTTTCATGTGACATTTCATATTCCCAGTAAGCATTAACTGGGATAAAAAAATGAGATGAAAATTTCAAAATTAAAGAATTAAATGAAGTAATATTTTCTTTGTGATATGAAGCCTTCAAGTTCTCAATTGTCAATCCCCTTGGATGTAGGGATGTTCATTTGTGTGAATATCTATATTCCATGGATACTTGCTATCTAATCATAGAAGTCAAGAAGGAATTCTGGAACTCCCATGGGAGAATCAGACATGAGTCACATTCTTCTGCTGGATTTGGTGCTAAAAGCAATTTTCTCTGAATAATTCTATCAGAGCATCTTAGCCTAACATAGTTTTGGAAAAAAATCACTGGGCAGAGGGAGGGGTTGTGAGGGTAGATAGTATAGGCTGGTTCACAGCAGGATTCCCTGAAAGGCAGGTAGAAGACTCTGCATCAGAAAACAGATGAGAGAAGCAGTACCAGAAACTATTTTGGCTCCCGTTAGTTCTGTGTTTATAGCAGATGTAATTAAAAGGAAAAAGTGCTAAGTAGAAACCAGAATAGAAATGAGCACGGTTTCATACCAGAGGGGAAAAATAAATATAAATCTTGAAAAAAATCAGGAGAAAGAACACCACTCAGGAAAAAAGGAAAAGTGAGTGGTGGGTGGGCTGGGAGGGTAAATGAATTTCCTACACCATATTTAAGATATGAAGGGAGGTAAGTATAAGTGGTAGATAAATACTTGCAGGAAGCTGCACTTTGTATTTTACTTTATCAAAAATAGAACTAAAAGAAAATAAGTATGAAAAATGGCCATATTTCAGAGCAATTATTTTTTACTTTATGATAAATGTTGTGTCTACAGTCCATTTTTACAACTAAAACCAAGATCCAAGATAAATTCCCAATTAATTTTTCTCATTCTGATACTTCAGCCATACACAGATGAAGACAACCGCTGTTCTGGGTAGGTTCACCAGCTTTCTCCTACGTGGGAGTATCTCACATCAAACAGAAGCAATAATGACTTACATGGTCAGGGTTTTTCTGTTTGTTTTTTTCAGAAATATCATCAATTAAAATTCATGGTAGAGACATTAATGTATCTGTAAAGGCGACTCTATATAAACTAGAGATAAACTAGTGAAGGCATATATGCATCTATATTCCTCTGTTTATAGAGGACAAATTTATCTCATGATTTAAACTTAAAAAGAAATCAACATCTCCCTATGTGTTTTATTGCTACATTGCATTTTCTTTGGGGATTGAATTCCATCATAGCCTGTGGCTATCAGATGTCAGAGGATCCCATGAAACCTATACATAGTGTGCCAATTCTGTCTCCTTACACTTGAGCCAGGAAATGATGACCATTTAGGCTCCTGTCCAATTGAGTAAGAGCATGCTACCAATTTAGACTTCAGAAAGATATTTTCTCATATCCAGACGATGCCTGATATGTTACCTTCAATTGCTCTTTCCAGCCAAGCACCATTTGTTATAAGATTTGAAAATTAAATTTAAAAATTTAAGTCACTAAAGGTAGGAATTTATTATCTTACAGTTTTCAAAAACTTCAAAGAAAAATAAAATTTCCAATACTATATTAACTCCAGTGTTTAGTTATTTTAATTATTTAATATTTTCTTTAGACAGATGAATGCCTTTACTTTGTGTAATGTCATAATTATATGTAATGGTGTAAAACTGTACACAACATATGACATTCTAAGGTATAGTTTACTTAAACCTAAACCAAATCTGAATACAAAGGATAGGAAGAAGATCAAGACAGCCATTATTTACCTCCAATATATGTGCTTTGGAATAGGTGAATGTCAAATGCTTCTGAAAAGGTGATAAATCTCACTAAATCTAGCTAGAATTAAATGATTTTTGAAACCAAACAATCCTAAAGATTTTGTTACTTAGAAAGTATAAAGGTCAAACTATTTCAATACAGTTGTAAGACTGCCCATAGGTTCTCAATGGATGAGTTTTAATGTCACTTTTGAGAAATGAAGAAGTGAAAAATAACATTAAAAATAGTGACAATTATAAAACATTAAGAGGCAGTGAAAGAGCTAACTTTGATATACTGAGTCCTGGGTAGCCTTGCCTAAGAAAACCATCCACTGATGTTTTATAGTGTAATAAATGGTATCATGGGCATGGAGGATTTAAGAGAAGGGCAAGTTAATTCGATAGTGATGGGTTATATTTTTCTGTTTCCTTTACTACTCTTAATTTTCCACTGAAACTTTTCTGGCTACATATAGGGAGGTACAAGTGAAGATAAATTGTAAAGAGTCCCTGTTTCCTCTTAGATATTTTTGGTTATTCATCTCTCATTCTACAGCAAAAGCTTCTGAAGTCACCAGAAAACATTGTTGCTAAATTTTAAATGCATTTCCAACTTTCCTTTATTTACAGAACACAAATAATTTAAAGTTTAATTTTTATGCTTTATTATTCAATAGAAGTAATGATATACTCCCTATCAAAGCACAATGCCAAATGATGTGTCAAAGCTGTGA